AATATAGTTTTTATTTTAGTTTAGCCCCCCCAGAAATTCTAATGGATTTCCGCCTATGGTGTCCCTATAGTATTGATAGAGGGAGAACCAAAAACAACTTTGAGGGATGACGTGTCTTCAAAGTTTGAAATTCAATCCATCGTAAAAAAATGTTAAAAGGTATATGAGTATAATAGTATATGACTCTACACTTAACTGTTTTTTTAATTTCATTAAAACAAACTTACGAAGAACCTTGTATTAAATTTTCAAACCTTTAAGTAGCTATTAAAATTGATATGATTATGAACTTTTAACTACCTACAAAATAATTTTTAAATTTTGCTAAATGTTTAGTGTTTTAATATACAAGCCATGCTTATTAGAATAATTTGTATAAGCACCTACAGGCTCAGATTGAACCGGCGAGCTACCCCTAGAAAATCTCGGTAGGCCGCTTAAAAATAATGTATTGTGTTAAAATATATGTACATCTAATTATATAAATGTATATCTAAAAGCAAATCAAATTTTAAAATTAAAATTATTTAAAATTATAAAGTCATAGTAAATTGATTAGAAATAATGGCCATACTACTCATACTAAGGTCGTGATGATTATGAGTATATAATGAAAATATGTGTAAAAATTGCATGTATCAAGTTCTAAACTTATATTTTGCGTTTTTCTAATAATACAGCTAAATACGAGTATACTAAGGAACTTAATTTAATGTATTGGATAATTTGTAAATTTGCTTTAGAAAAACAATTATAAATTATTGCACACATGGTAAAAGAATGTTCATAATTTTTTTTTTTGTCAAATGTGCCAATACTTCGTTGATAGCCGGTAGAAATTTAAAATCTATCGGTGGGCCGAAAAGTCTCAATCCAGCGCTGAGTGCCTACGACCTACTTATACTATTTTTCACTGATCTGAAGGTGTTTAATAATGTCAAACATATTTACATTATATACATTATAATATATTATGCGTATTAATATGTATATAGGTGCGTAAACGTCATCGCTGTGTAGAATACCCATCTCGCTAAATACATTATCTTCACTTGCTATAGTTGCTAATGTTCGTATACTTTTTTTTTATCGAAAACGATTAATCAGAGAACCCATGTAAGTGTTGTGAATATTGTGCTGGTTTTATTAATGGATTCGATGACTAATCGTGCACCCGTCTTAGGAAATTCAATTTTCGTCCACAACATTTTCTGTTTTATTGTTGGTCCCCTCCTGGCTACCGTTTAATCCGGGCTTGTTGTCCGAGTCAAAGACAGTACCTATACATTTAGTATTAATTTATTGTACTAAGTTTTCTATCGAGTGTACACAGCAATTCATTATAAAGTGACCATGCTCGAACACACTTGATCGGAAGTGAGTTTCAGAAATATTTATCTACCTATAGGTAGATATATCTAATTATCTTGAAGGTCTCGACGAAGGCAAGAGCATTATCAATTATTCATAATTACTCTTTATTATTGTTGTTGCTTTTGCAGCTTCCCAATAAACCCAAACTTAGCTATATTTTATACAAAACAATTTGTACAAGTTACAAGATTTTTACCTCACATTTTTATGGATGAATGCAGGTATATTGATAGGTAGGTGGACTGTCATTACTCATTATTATTCAGGCCGTAGCTCGCGCGCAGGGTCTGTCTTAGGCGAAATGTTCACCTCATCGAATTAAATAGAGCGTATGTGAGCATCCCACGAGGACCATACACAACCACCCACAATAAAATAGATTATAACACAAAATATTGAACAATAACGGAAAAGCGTGCTCATCAAAAAGAAAATAATCAACAAAAGATGATGCCACGAATTAAAATTATATTAAAATAATATACCATTGAAGATACCTTTTATATAGATCAAGTACGTTTTTAATGACAAATATAAATAACTACATAGTGGCTATAGTTAACAGCTAACCATGATATGTAGTGAGTTTGAAGCAGCTTTTATTTCAGTTGATTAGGTTTTAGTGGTGTTGACAAAAAAAACAAAAATTTTATACATTTTAAACATTTCATGTTATAAATTACATACATATTATTCTGTGATACCAACATGATTAAAAGCGATTTTATTTACAATATAAACATACGGAGGGGCTAAGCCCACTTGGTACACCACAAATTGCGTTTATTGTGCTGACTGCGAGTCTTTGAAGGACTTTATTGTTTATATAATATTATGGAATAAGTCAATAATCTTAAGCGATACACTTTTTTATTGAAATATCAACCCCATCGTCAATCACTATACCTATAATAATGTTATGCCAGTGCCAATGAGAATGTCCATTGGCCAGCTATCGTCGGTGATAAGGGTTGTAATTATATGGGCTTGGCCAGGACTTAGAATTTAGATAATATATGCCTCATTGAATCAATACCGGTCTAGACATCACCTTAACACCATCCACAAAAGTGTCAACATTTAATATTTAATTTCTAAATATATATTATGCAATGATACTAATAACTTTCTATTTACCTACTAATTACTATAGGGGTACCTAAATAGTAATAATATTGTTATAATATAGGTAGTTCTGGGTCGGTACGATTGCCTCATCGAAATGTGCAGGCGCAAAATTGGCCAGTGTTAGTTGTTGCTAGTTTTAGTTGGAAATTTCGATTGTAATAATATTATATTAATGCACAAGTGCCTGCCTAATATAATAATTATTATCGAGGTAGGTACCTACCTTACCTATAATTCAATGTGAACTGTGTGCCAATTTGTTCCGTAATGATAAACACGATGGTAATAATGCCGAGCGATTTGCGGGAACAGCGAAACGGAACCTTCGAAATGTTTCCATTCGTTCTCCCGCAGCCGGTACATAACCCAATACCCATTACATCAATACAATATATTGTTATTGTAGATGGTTTATAGATATAACTATTAGATACCTATATGCATATGTGTATGCATAATATATATTAGCCGTATGGTATTTAATGCGTTTAACCGTATAACGAGATGTCGAAATATATACCTGATGATCAAATCATACAAACTTGTCGTTTGGAAACTTTTTTCGGTTTGTTTTGAGAACCGAAAAGCATACGTTTTTCTTACATAAAATACGATTTAAATTCTTGAAATTAGTCTTAAAGTTTCTGATTCTTGACAATTCTGATTATCACTCTACTAACTACTTTGATAATTGTGACATTTACTTAACAGTCCATGACCTACCAAACCAGTGAACAATTTAGGATTTTGTCTTCTGACAAGTACCTATTTATCCAGAGCCCAGTAACTCAATTCTGCCCTTCACCATTCAGGTTGTTTTGAAATTGTGATACCTACCTACCTAACGGCTAATTGTCATAAGTCATAACCGAATTCTAAATGTCATTATAAACACAACATAATATTGTTGTCAAAAATAAATACAATCCATTGAGGCGTTACTCTTATCCGGGACCAAGGGTGTCCCCAAAAATGTGCCATGGGAGGGAGAAAACTATTTAAATTTTTAAATTTTTGGGTTTACTATGAAAAAGTATTGTTTGCGATATGTTTCCCTTCATACAGGTTGGGAATGTACAAATTATTTGTGAATTATATGTAGACAATAATTAGTAAAAACTTTCTAATCTTTCTCATCTTATAGGATTAATTTTAATTAATTTATATGCAATTTTAAATTAACAACTGAAATTTATTTAAAAATAAATATAATGTTATACTTGATTTGATACTTTCAGGTTATTTATAAAATTAAATGTTCTTAGCTTCTATAAAATAAATAAAGAACCAAACTATAAATCATTTGGAAATAACTAATTTCTTTTATTAGCTTAAAACAAAACTTGAAAATATTATATGCAATCTATGAACATAATATTTTTTATCAAACAACTAATGTATAAAAAGGTAGCCTCAGTTGATACACTTCACTTGGCTCAAACAACATTTTTAGTTCTGTGGTTTGTAATTGAGTGTAATAAAAATGCTTTTTTTATTTTTCATTTAAAAATATTTATTTTACGATATTTTATAATACGTTATGATAATTGACCCAGAAAAACATCTTGGAAATTATAAGTACAAAACACAATATTATAATTATCATTTTCCATATAATTTCTTTCCAATAACAATTCAGTGAATGGACACAGAAATATAGCAAAGAAATAATTTGATATGTTGAGGCTGCAGTGCTGAACACATCAGTTCATCACCAATACAGTTTAAGTTCAGACTTTTAGAATTAAATTTAAAAATGTTTGTTAATATACCTATTTAAGTTGAACAGACAACAATAATTAGTCTTATAGTACTTAATTTGTATAAATTCCGAAACACTCAAAGAATCAATTGAGAAGTATGAAAATGTAATATACATTATTAATGTTTTCAGTGAATAGAAAGAAAATAATTTTCTACAGGTAAGGTCAGGTTAGGTTGTATTGGTCCTGTGTACTATATTAGATATGATAATCTAGTTCATTTTTCATATTGTCAAAAGTAAAAACATGAGTTTGAGAATGACCAATTTAACATAATATCCCATCCTCAATTATGTGGATTTATTTTTTTGTTATATCTTTTATATTAAAAATAATTAAAATTAGTTTATGTAGAAACGTCTAAAGATTCAAATTAAATTGTTCAACTACAGTTTACTACACAATTTTTCATTATTATACAGGTAATACATATAATATCATCAAGTGCTATAATCCTCAAACATTTATTATTAAATAAATTCATTATTTTAATTGACAATTAAAAAGAATTAAAATAGTTATTATTAATAATAAATAGTTATAGAAAACAATATCTAATAATACTGACTCTTAGAACACTTAACAAAGTATATTATATTTAAAGTAGTTAAAATCATAAATTACACTCGGCAATTTGTAATAACTAATTAATTAAGTGATTAGTATAACACCACAATGTTATATATTTGTATGAATCGTTTATTCCAATCTAAAACATCTACAATAATAATTAACTATCAAAAAAAAAAAAAAAAAACAATAATAAGAAATTAAAATATGTTATGTTAAAAAAAATTATACATATATATCGTCAAACATTCTATCACTAAGGTCAAAATTCATTACACATAAAAAAACATACAAAAAAATTATATAGTAAAAGTTAGTAAAGTAAACGCAAGGTTAAACATAGATTCGAAGACAGAGTAGTGATAAATTAAATAATAAATAATTTAAGATTTATGGCCACATAATTTGATTGCACGTTATAAAAAGTCTTATTTTCTCCATAAGCTTTTGAAAAATCCACGTTTGGATTGACTGGTCACACATTCTTCAGTTATATCTCCTAAAATTAATAAAAATTATAAATACTTTATTAAATAATACAAATATCAACTTAATGTATATTTTTGTATATATGCCATACTATAAATATCATTCAAATTAATAAGTGTTTTGATATTATATTATTTTATACAATACATCCTGATAAGTAACAACTAAAAGTATTGGAGTACAACTGTTCTATTTAGTTTTAACATACATTTTTATAGATAACTATAGACTGAGGGGCAACTTGATATATCATTTAATATTTGTTATAACATATAACTAATTTCTGACTATTTTCTGGCTTTTAAAAACCATATGTATTCAAACATATTATTTTATTTGGATTTCTTTTATTTTGTCAATATTCTTTTAGAAACTTCTTAAATATGTACATATTACATAATAAATATAAGTTACCGTGTGGCCCAATCACTGAAGAAGAGAATACAGTTTTAGATTTGTTACTTTTGTTAGTATTACCTGAAACAAAATAAAATATTATTGAGTATCTCAAATCTAGTAGTGTATCTACTACTCAAGTAGTGTTTGGTATGTCATTGTTTATACATTTTTTAAAAAATATTTTGAAATGTTGGAAAGTGTCAAATAATGGTCGATTGACAATCAATTCATATATAACATTTAGATGGTTCTACACTATGAGATATAAAAGATAATATTAAATTATATAATTATTAGAATACTTTGATTTGAACTTATTAAATATATTTTTCTTTACGTATTACATTCAATTTAGTACTTTTCAAAATTTAACCAAACCCTAACAAATGTATAACTAACTAGGGTCATCAGGATATAGCTTCAATAACAATAAACAAAGAACATGATATAAAATATTTTAAATTTAGATACAAATACTTCCATACATTTTTGTTTTGAATTAATTATTATTTACAAGTAGCTGTGGGATTTTTGTTTAAGGAGGGACAGAGTCTCAAAGTCTCGCTTCTGCCGAGCTGCCAATGTAACTTAAAAGTCAAATTTGTAACCATTTCTAGATTAAAAGACAGACACAGCATAATTAAATGAATTTTAACAATAACCTAAAACTATTTATACTATGCATATTTTAGTTAAAAATTTTAGCGAAAAAAATAATTTAGAATAGGCTAATTAAATATTTAGGCACACCACCGTATATTTTATCAGTTTCCTAAAGGGTGTGCTGTGAATACCTGAATGTTTTTAGTTTTAACATCAGTATGAAACAATTGAACATAACTGTTTCATACATGGCTGGGTGCCACATAGAGATTTGCAGAGGAACAGATTTTTGTCAGGCTGTGGCGTGTTCATACACTGAATAGTGATCATCACTACATAGAATAAAACAAAGTCGTTTCTCGCTATCTGTCTGTCCCTATTTATGCTTAAATCTTTAAAACTAAGAAACAGATTTTGAAGAGTTTTTTTAAATTGATAGTGATTCAAGAAGAAGGTTTATATGTACATAACATGCATAATAAAGTAGAAAAACAGTGATAATTTTAAAGGTTTCTAATGTGATGTTGTAAATAAAAAATTTTTTTTTGTGTTTTCATTACAAACGCTGGCTGAACCCTATAAGAAATATCGAAATAATGTACTATAGAATTTTACACCTTAAAAATGTCTACAAAAAAGTCTGCGATGGTATATGTCTATCTTTTATGGATCTACAATAATTTTTTATCCTTTACTTTTTTGAGAAATAATGGCTTATTCATAAAGTGATTTTAAGCAATACAACATTAATCCATATACAATTAAGTACCTTAAATACATTGTGCATTTAATATAGATCAATATGGCTCTTTACAGCATGCAATTTAAATTAATATTTTCGAAGATATTGCAAATTGAGCAGTTGATACAGATTTAGGGGACATTCTGTAGTATTTAGTATCAGCATTGCACCTGTGCGGAGCCGAGGCGGGTTCCTAATATATAATATAAAGATGATGTTGTCTGTGTTACTGTGAATGTCCGCAATTGGTGAGTGCTGACAATCACCTAGTGAATGTCGACATACACCTACTAAATTGGTAAATGTTGAAAAATTAAAATAATATATACATGCACTAGTGGATGTTGACATTTACATAAGGATTTTGGTTAACATTGACATAGGTTATGTTTTGAAATTACACTGTGTATACCCTTGCCCACCGGTTGATGAATTTGATGCAAAAGCTTGCCTTAAATGTATTTTTTTATCCATATGTACATAAGTGATTTAATATTAAATTTTTTTTATATACTGAAAACTGGTTTCTGGTGTATAATTTATTTATAACTCCATTTTTGGTAACTAATTTTTTAGATACTAAATTATTAAAGTTATTACAAAATACTTCATGTATGTTTTCCATTAAAAAAAATGTTTTGGTTATTGTGCAAATCACTATACTACGATAACACTATAACTACGTTGAATGACAATATCATACAAAATGTTAACAAGGCAGCATATAGCATGGCGGTTATCCAGATATAATAAGTCACAGGATAAGATAACTAAACATTTTATTGAAATCATTAACTTGTACAATACCTTGTATATTAGTTAATGGTTAGGTTCAAGAATATTAGATGAGATCAGATTAAATAATATCGGCATTACCAATATCATTATATAAATGTCGACATTCGTTAAATGTTTACTAACAGCACATAATATTTAAATTAATACGCCAACATTCACCAATGACTTTGGTGTATGACGACATTAACCGGTGACTGTCAGAACTCACCAACTGCAGACATTTGCAGTAACATCTGCATATTTCACGTTTCTGTTCCATGTTTCTAATAAGTAATTAATTTGACAAATAGACAATGCTTATTTAAAGTGGGCTACAACTTCTAATAACTAATAATATTGATGCGCCTTGATTCATAAAATGTAGGGAACCACTACTATAACATATCATATTTAAATGTTTTCAACAGGGCTCGAGTTGAAAATTTTTTTTTGTTTTATGTTATTTAAAATAAAAATGTTACGCAATTGTTGTGTTTATTATTATTTAGAATTGAAAGGTTATTTTACCCAAAATTTGCTTAAAAATCCAGTATGTAGCTTACAACTTAATTTTTTTCAACATAATTTTCAATGTCAATAGAAATTTTATTTTATTTTTTAATGGTCTATTTTCATGGAGCTTGTATGTTTGATGCTGGACCTCAGTAGTACGAAGTAGAGTCTACCAATATGGCGGCATTGAAAAATTAAAAAAAGTATGTACTTCTACAGAGCAATTATCAGGGCATCATTCCTTTATCATTACTATTATTACTATGTATTTGCTCTAGGCAAAAAATTAAAAAATTACAACTTAACGGGGAATATAGCCCAGATACGGAGTATAATAAATTATTAGATTGTTTGCTAAGACCAAAATAAATGACATGAAATAAATATTTCTACGAATACAATATTATGACTTGGAACAGGATGCCATACTTGCATCCTGCATGCTCTATCTCTTTCTTGCAAAAGCATAAAATAACAAATTGTATGCTTTGAATAATTCATTTAACTCGGTTTTATTTAATCTTAGAGTGAATTTACTTATTAAGAAATTTAGAAGTAAACATATGATCTAGTTGATGACAGGTTTTTTTTAATATTTCAATTTTAAAGAGAGTTACGAGCATTTTAATGTCGTCTTCTTAAATAAATGGGTTTTAAATTACCTATTTCGTTTAAAGATATTCTATAAATTACATTTTGCTATGTTATATTTTATTAACCGTTATGTTTTATTTTATAGTATTTAATTATTTTTGTTTATTGTTTTCAGTTATAATAACCTTTACAAATGTTGATCGTTTTTTTTTTTTTTTTTGTCAAATATAACGTTTGCAAGCCAAGGTTTTCGATTATTTTTATAAATCAACTTTATTTTTGACATACTTTATGGATTATTTATAAATGGTTATAATTGATGAACACATTATGGATATAAATTAATTTCGTCCAATCAAAAAATTATTTGATAGAGTAGTGAAAAACAAATACATTTTAATAATATTTCATAAGCTAACCCTTTCTAATAAGTAGACTAGTGACACGTCGAAGTGCTTCTCTGGGAGACCTGTGAAAGAACTTTGGTGTAAGGTTAGGGGGTAATGTAACAGGTTTATGGCCTTCTCGAGAATCCCATTGTGAGTGGCCCACAGGGCTTTTGCTAGCCAATTTGTCTAGCTGTTCTACTGACACAGGACGAAATTGTCGTTGCCGTGGGTACCATCCCCTACCAGGTCCATTTAGGTGCAACAACTCTGCACCAGCCATTGCTTGACCTAAGCCAATACTAGAACCATGACCAGCACCTCTCATGTTGATGCTCATACTATCTGTATTATACACAAAGAACAATAAGTTAACAATTAAATAATTTTTATACACATTTTTATTTTGAACTTACTTGACATCTGAGTCATTGTTTTAGTACCAGTGGCAGAATACTGACGGGGAAAATCACATCTTCCTAATAGTGGCGTATCTGGCAATGAACTTGAAATATCTGATAATTTTTCAATAGTACTGGGATGAATACTGGTTTTAAGCATTAAAGGTTTAGGGTATCCATCAGAAACGGGTACTTCAGATGGATAAGTTCTTCTCTCAGATTGCACCTATAATTCCATAGAAACATTATTATCAATGATTAAATAAATATCTATTAATTGGCTTGAAATTCTAACACCTAATTTGTTATTTTTCTTTTGGGAAAAAATTTTTTTTTTTATGTTTAATTATTCATAATGAATCGATATAGGCAATAATAATAAAAATAATCTTTTACCACGGAAATTATTCTAATTACAATTTATAATGTGACAGTTCATGTGAAATGTAAACAATATTATACTTATATAAATAATTATAACATTTAAGGCCAAACCTAACATAACCTTACCAGTTAATAATAAATGGCTGAGCTGATAATAGGTGTTATTACCAGCAGAATTCCCCCAGTTAGGTGTCTATTAACTTTACCTGGACATTGTAAGAAAGTCCTTTAAACTCATTGAACTTAAAACTAAAACTGTACATAGCAAAAAAATAAATAAACAAAAATAATAAAAAGAATAAGCAAAATGAGAGGGGGGAAATGTGTACTATATTATATTGTATATGTATGTTTTTCATTGAATACTAGCTTTAGGTACTTTTGAATATGAAAAAAATGTTAAATAATTAACAATTTTAATTGTATAACATTTATGTATTATTTTATACTTGTACAAACATATTTTTTTTTACCTACATATGTAATATTCATAATAATTTATTATTAATAAGAAAAGGCAGTTCAAAGTGTAAAATTATCTATTCAAAAACAATTATATAAACTAATTAGGTACTAATCTAACTTCAGCTTTATTTTAATGCATTTTATACGTTTTATTATCATGATCAAGAGTTAAAATATGTGAATTTATAGTAATCAAATAGCATAAAATAATATTTAATTCATTATGAGATAACAAATGGAGAATTTACAGTGTACCTACAACACTAAATTAGTGTATTATTTATATAAACATTGTACAGTTTAAAATATAACTAACTCAATCATAAGTTACTCACAGATCGTGTTCCAATTTTTTGATGTTGTTGAAAGTTATGAGAAAATTCTGCGTCTATCGATCGAGATTTGATTATTGAAGTACTTGGTTCATTTTTATGAACATCAAATATGAATGGTACAGGAGCTGAGTTTTCTCTTTTTGTTTCAACGCCACTCAATATAGGTAGCTCTGAAACTATACAATTCATCACAATAAATTAACCAAATCACAAATAATAAGGTTTTTTAATTATCCAATTAGTTACCAATCTCTTCAATAGGTGATGGGGGCAATGGTCCAAACAAAAATGAATCAAAATCTCCATCAATATTATTAAGGCTTATCTGTTCATTTACAAATTCTTCTAAAATGTTAGCATTTGCATAATTTTCACAACTATCATTAGAATCGATGTCAAGTCCTTTGTCATATAAACTAAAATTTGTGTAACCAATGTCGACACAGTCCTCTCCATTAGTTTTGCCTTCAGGCGCTTTATCAAATAAATTAATATTGGTATAACCAATTTTCAAATGGTCCTCTTCATTAACATCAACTTCATTTCCATTCTCAACTACATTCATATTTGTATAGTCAATATCAACATTATTGTCATTGGGCTTGATTTCACATGCCTTGTTAAAAGTTGTTATTTTGGTATAACTAACATTAGTCAAACTATCCTCATTATTAGTTACTAATTTATCTTTATTAAAAACATTAATATTGATATAACCAATACTGGTACGGTCTTCTCCGTTGGCATTAACTTCGTTTGTCTTGTTAAATGTGTTAACATCTGAATAACCAATACTTGCACAGTCCTCTTCTTCATTAGTTTTGATTTTATATTCAGAGTTAATAACATTAATATTTGAGTAATCAATGTCTGAACAGTCATTTTCTGCATTAGTTTGAAGTTCTTTATTAAATACATTTATATTTGTATAACCAATGCCTGATAATTCCTTTTCTAAAGAAGTGTCATGTTTTTTATTAAAATCATTAATATTTATATAACCAATACTGGTACAGTTTTCTTCTATGTTACTTTTAATTTCATCTTCATTGTTGGTATTCATTTCAAGTTCTTTCTTAAAAACGTTACTAATCATATGAAAATCATTTTGGTGGATTTCCTGAATCAAAACTTCATTATTCACTTGACAATTAACAAAAATATCTTCAGTTTGACAGCTTGTGTCGACATATATTTTTTGATTTTGATGTTTGAATAATTCGGTTGATACTTGAACAGACATGTCATGTTTAGCAACAATATTTTTGCAAAGATTATTCATAAATAATTCGTGTTTAGTTGCACACATTGTTAAGTATGAACACGAATGATGGCTTTTTGTACTATCATGACTTATAAGATTTGGTAACGAAGAAACTCTGTAAAGCAGAGGAGGGTGTGGAGGTTGAAAGTCTGGTGGCATTTCATCTAGACCATCTACTAGACCTTCTTTAAGCAAAGTTTTTATGTCTTCAAATGTTGAACTAAATCGATTTAGTTCATTATCTTCGGGTAAAGAATGATTTCTATTATTAACATATTTATTTACATAGACTGGCATATCCACACATTGTTTTGGAGAGTATTGATCATGATTATTGCTTGAAACAACATAATCTTCTTCTTGAAAGAATTGATTGTGCTCGATTGCTATTGGATGGCCATTAAATGGCACATTATCGCTGACTAGAGGCAAGACAATTTTTAAGACATTACTTGGTTGACCATCTAAACACAATTCATTAATACATTCCGACTGTAAATTATCTGTCTGAAGAACCGCCATACAACCATTGTGAGAAGAAGTAATTGGGACTACAGCACTAGTTTCATTTTCAGATTCCAAAGGTGAAATGTGTGATACCGTTTCAAGATCAACACATTCCATTACCTGTGCCAAAGGCCAACTTCTACGATCTTTTTGAAAATCTACAGACTTTGAATAGGAAGTATTTTCATCGTTTTTACTGCACGCATTATTTTTCACTCTAGGCTAAAAAAACAATTACTAAACAATTTAATATCATTTTTTTTAAACATTATGTTTATTTAAATAAATTAAATAAAACAAAAATTACCAAAGTAGATGATACAGCAATCGTATTGGGTAACATAGTAGACTGAGATATTTCTTATTTCTGAGCTATAAACAATTTGATATCCTAGAAAACAAAACAACATAATATTACTAAATAAGAATTTAATAATAAAAACAATAAAATGAAAGAAAAATTAAGTCTATCTATATATTATACTATAATTGGTAGGACTAATGCATTTTAAACATAAAATAACAATAAAACAAACACTACATTTAATAACAAAGGTAACCAATTAAATATTTGTACAAAATTATTAAAACTAAGTTTGGTACTAAAATAGTTGTATAGGATACTATAAGACTCTTACATATATTTCGGTAAGTAAATACAAATTTTACTACCTATATTATATATCTAAGTAAATATAATTATTAATCATTAAACCTCTCATTACTGACATTTTGTTTTATTAAATGAAATGCATTTTATAATCATAAATTATGTTTTTCTGTTTTACAATATTTAAGACTTAAGTTGTACACACTTTAAACAACAGTGTTTCTATATGCTTTACCGCTATAAACCAAATAGTAAAATATTTAATTATAATCAAATATGTTATATTTTCTTCTGCAAACCATATAAAGATAAAATTATACATATTTATAATAATATTTAAAATATATATTTGTCTAAAATAATTAACTATAGGTATATCTACTAAAATAATAAATAGTAGAAATGTTTCTACATTCCAGTATTCCACTTAACTTAATATATATATTTAGATTGATAATAAAACATTTATTAGATATTGTCTGAAATCATTTAATGACTCTTTAAGTAGCCATAAATGTTAATAATGGCTGCATGCCCACATGCCTTCAATTTAGCACATAGTGTGCTAAATAACTAAATTTGTATTTATTCTAGATGCATTGTTATATTTTTAGGTTTGACTCACGGTAATGTTAATAGGTTACAATTGCCCTATTTTAGTTTACAATTATGGTATAGAATACCACCTTAAAGTGTTAATAAGTCATTTAATTTATAATTGATGTTTAAGAAAACTAATATATCTACCTATTATTTAAACCTAAAATTAAAATTTGTACTCTGAACAAAAAAAATCATGGGTACCTACCTCTAATAGATCATATGAAAATTATATTAGTTCCTTATTAGTTTATTGTGGATATAAAATAAAATAAAACATTTGTATGAATTATTTTACTAACACTTTTAATAATAGACCTCATTAGGCATATACAAGAAGGTTGGCACTATAATATTGTACAATAGCTAAGGTTTAATGTCATATTATGCTCTTATCAGGCTATCATATAGTATGTGGTCAATAGCCAAATGCATTCTACCAGCCACTATAGGATGCAATCTACCAGCGACCAGCCTATTTTTACACAGACCTAAGTTTATCTTTAATAGATAATGTTTAATTTTTTCTTCAATGAACATTTTGTCTGTGTGGTCTTACACCTTATGACTTCCAATAACAATAATTTGAAATAGTATTGTTCCAAGGTAAAATTATTATATGTTATGTATAATACATAAGATATAATAATACATATTGCACGGGATATTGCATGTATCTCATGGAAACATGGTGGTGAGAAAATAATAAATAGGATTTATTAATTGCATTTTTGAGAGATATGGCGGAAGTTTTTGTATAATTTGAATGGTTGCTACACCGAACACAGTATTTATCCTTGCTGACAACAATTTTTTTGACAAACGATAGGTACATTAATTTTTCTTAATTATTTAAAATAATGATATACCTACTATAATATCACAATATAATTTTCGAACCATTTATTTGTGGTATTTCGCAATCCGCAGACTATACTCGTAAATTCACTGGTAGATCGCATACTATATGACAGCCCTCTTATTGAATTATTAGGTAATACTAGCATATCCAGGCAGACAATAAATGCCGTATCTTAAAAGAGAAAAGTTTCAAAAATACTTTAAAAATTAAAACAACCAATTTTTAGTTGATAAAATTATTAAACTTTTAACAAAACCAATAAACTCAAAAATGTTTGACAAAAAAACTATGTATAAAATAAAATACCCATACTAAGTCTGAATGTACTATGTATAGGCACATATTTGTAATTAGGTATCATTTGCTTATAAATAGAATAGTCGATAGAATATAACAGTAACAACAAATAAACTTTAGTACCAAAATACTTCAAAAAATACTATGTAAAAGTTGACAAGAAAGTAATTTGTAGGTGCTGTACAAAAGGTCGAGTGTATGTGTGTTCCTTGCCATTGAGTAGGTCACTGTAACGGAAGTGTTCAATTTAAGTTCAATGATAAATCATTAAAAAAAAAACATGTACAAAATAAAATAAAAATGAGTCCTGGGTGAAGGCAGTGTAAGGTTTTGCAAACCAAAATTACCAAAATATTAAAATTTTAACAAATTAGATAAAATTTTCTACGAAAAAAAGTTGAAAATCAAAGAATATTTTACTACAAAAAGTGTCTTTAGACTCAAAAATAAATAAAAACACACATTGTAAAAACAATACATTCAACGTTCAGAATCTAAAACTCTATTAATTTTCTCGTTCATTGAATTTTTGATAGTTAATTGTTTTTAACTGCTTCTGTTCTCAGGAATTTAAGATTAGTATGTATCTACTATAAATTATACTAAATCAGCGGTTCTCAACCTTTTTGAGTTTGCGACCCCCTATAACAGGGATGGCAAACCATTTGAACACCGCGTGCCCAAAATTAGTAATAACATTTTTGTTTTTAGAGCGTGCCATGAAAAAAATATTAAAAATATTGTATTTTGTTATACTATAATTTGATTGTATAATTAATGTATTAGTATAAAAAGGTTAGTTTAGGTTATTATAGGTCCTATAATATTATATTATATAATATATAATGATAAAAATTTTCGCGTGCCCACAAAATCTTTTCGGGTGCCATGGCTTTGCCATCCCTGCCTTTTAATGTTACCAAGATGTCCAACGACCCTTTTATAATGTAAGCATTAAAAAATTGAACCAACTGTTATTATTGTATTTATTTGTGTATATATTTTATAAAAAAAGGTATATTATGTACACTTCAATGAATGTTTTTATCGACTACCGGACTATCCAAAAATATATATATTATAACACTTACTATTAATTATAAGATTCTAAGTGAAACAATTTTTTTCCCACATGGATTGACGACCCCCAAAGGAGTCGCGACCCCCCGGTTGAGAATCGCTGTACTAAATAATATATTTTTATCTACTTGCATAGTAATTAACTTTAATACACATGGAGGCTTATAAATAGTAAATGTTACTATGTATATCAATAATTAGATACATACAAGTATACATACATCAAGTAACTATATCTAATAACGTAAATTATAGACTTATACACTTAATATATACAGTATAGTAAAACTTCCATTTAATAAAATACTTTTGGAAATAAAACTAAATTAGAAACCAAACTTATTTACCTAGATATTTCTATTTAAAAAATTTCTCTAAAATACAAATTTTTTTGTTGCGCATGGGACTGTAGGAAGTGGAAGTATTATGAAAGTTTCACTGTGCTTAAATTAAGTTAAATTCATTTTCATACATTTTTAATTTTCAGAATAATTTCAGTTGAACTCCCCGGTGAATTTTTTTTAAAAATCATTATTAGTCAATGTACGTCCCGCAAAGATAATCATGAATTGTCTGTAGCCCAAATTATTCATTGTGTCACAATATTTCAATATTTCAATTTGTTATATCTTAGAAACTAAGTCCGACTGACAAATTATTATGGTACCTTTATTTTTTTTTCATCAAAAACTGTAAGGAAACTAAACTAGAATTATGCCAAATGTTGTATTATTTTGATTTTGAAAGGTAAAACTTAAAATCATTTTTGTAGTAGCTACCTTGTAGCATATTAATCATTATTAATACAATTTTTATTATTATAAGACATGCATGAACATCAGTAGGTAATGTATACTGTAAAGGTTTGAGTATTTATAGTAGAGAACACAAAAAAAAAACAAGTTATTGGATGGTTATTATTTTTATGTCTGTGAGATGTTTTCTAAACTAGTACCAACATTAGGATGTATAAAAACAATATGCATTCCAATTATGGAGACAACTTGAAATTTCTAGCAACACAAGTTTGCTTGTATAATATAGTTATAGGTACTTATAACTTAGTTAAATTTACTTACATGCAACAGAGGTAATCTGACGAAGAAAAATATCCAAGTCTAGAAATGGGATTCAAGTCACACTATTCCACTGGTTGTCTCCATTCTACGAAAAGACAATATAAACATTTAATATGGGCTTCGTTGAAAGGTTTGTTCTACAGCACTGTTTATCGCTGCGTTTGGACCAGTTTGATGCATGAATCAAGGAGCGGACAACGAGACCGTAACAAATGCTGTGATTGGCAGGAGACTAGATGATGCGAGTCGGATGTTCCATATCTGAGCCATGGCATGCCATACTCATAAATATAAGGACAAAGTAATAGAAATAGCAACATCCAACTTACCGGACACGGCGGCGCTCCGGCTCCTGTCTCGAACGCGTAAGTTGGCGAGTGGCACCGACCAGCTTTGTGGGCTCACGGAACGCCGTCGAAGTCACGATTATCGCTCTAGTCGCGAACCGTCGTCGGCGACATCGTCACCGTCGTCACCGCCGTCATCACCGTCGTCGTCGTCGTCGTCGTCGTCGTCGTCGTCATTCCTCCGACCGCGCAAAACGGAAAACACAGACGTCCGGCTCCCCGCTGCGTAAGTTGTTCACTCGTTCCGGCGAGTCGCCAAGCGAATTATTTTCGGTGGGGTAGGAGGAAAAAACTAAACGGATTAAAAAAAAAAACAAAAAAAAATCAACAAAACAATAAGGGGGACGAAATGAAAATTTAAAGAGCTGACACTGGCTGAAAATAATCAATAACTCCGCTTCTGTTTTGATGTTGTGTATGTGCGTACGTGTGAGCTTGTGTGTGTGTGATAATGTCAGTCCTTGACATTGATAACGCGGTGTTTACCATTTACTGCCGCCGCCGATGACGCCGAACGCCACCGCCGCGCGCCGAGAGAGATAGTGGGTCGGTCGTGCGAGTGTGGTGTTCCACAGGGGGGGGGGGGTGAGGCCATGAAGGGAGGTATAAAATACTATACGATTTTATAATACTATATTATGCGTAGTACGTACGACTGACGAATGTACTTTAGTATCATACCATCGACTACTTCTAATATACCTAATTGGCATTAGACACTAACACATAGATGTAATAAAGAAGAGAGGTTTTTTTTACTTTTATAATACTTGTCTCTATTTCTTCGAAAAAAAAAACCGATAACCATGTAGCGTTAATACATGTGTCTCATACATTTTTTTATCTACCATTATTATTGTCTACAAACTATGTACTACCTGCTACCTACTTTCTATAGTAATTGTAATAAGTACATATATAAATTCATTAGTGTCAGGGCTCGAATTGCTCGGAATTGTATGACCAAAGAAACAAAAAATATATACATATTTTAGATATAGGTAGGCATATGTACTAAAAAAGCTCAAATTTGCGGTTTAATACCTACCTATGCAATTATTTATGTATAAAATATGTATTTATATATTATTTAAAAATATATTGAATAAGAATAACTATTCAAAAAACGTTCATATTTTTTAATTATATACTCATCACCTATTTTTTTGTTTGTAGATCATGATGAATTATTCAAAGAGTCCTAAGTTTAAAAAAGGTTAATGTACCAAATACAGTGAATGTTAAATCATGGTATTAATTATTATACCTATTTGTTTGAAAATATAACATAATTTATTTTTGAAAGAATGATAGTTAAAATCTTTTTTGACACCTTTGTTTGCAATTTATTTATGTTTTAACATATGTAGTTACTAGTCAAACATACTGAAAACGATGAAGTAGAATTTGAAGGTTAGAACACGGTTATATACTAAGGTTGGGAACTCACTATAGTGCGGTCGACGAAAAGTAATCCGCGATCATCACGCGTCTAACGGCCGTTTTTCGTAAATCCAGGGGTTCTACGTTTAGGAGTACTATTATTATTATTTTTTTTTGTTTTTCTATAAACGTTAGTACATTACACGATTTGAAATTATATTAGGCGGGAAAACGTTTGGAGACCCATGCCGTAAAACGGCCGGTAGGCGCGTGACGATCGCGGCCTACTTTTCGTTGACCGCACTATAGTCACTACTATATTATCCCAGTTATAGCTATGTCAAAGTGGCTTAACTAGTAAACTAAAAGCGCAAGTAGCAGTTCGCAGTTGGATCGGTTTTAATATATAAAATAGGACAAACGATGTTTTATTAAATTTCATATTTATAAATAATTGTGTTGTTATACATCAGTAAGTTAATTTTAATAAGGAATTTTATTTTTTATTAATTAGGATGACTATTGTTACAAAAATTCAATATTTTGAATTTGTACTTTTAATTTGAGTTATTATAAGGGCTGAAGCACAGTGCCTAGGATTGGTCATACTGCCCAACGTGCAAATAGTATTAACTCGACAAACCAAGACGGGAATGCGGTCAACTCTTCATAGAGTTGGAATAAAATAACAAGATAATATACAGTAGAACTCCGATTATGAGAACGCCAATCATACGACATAAAATTAACGGGACGAGAAAAAAAAACAGCACGTGCAGTTATACATACACGTGTCTCATAATCGTATTTAGATTAGATACAAAAAAATCAAATATTATTCTTAATAATATCTGTCATTAAAAAGTTGCATTAAAAACTCAGAAGCTTTTATTAGCTCAGAAGCTAACCTAACCTAACCTTGAATACATGATTTGAGAAGCAAGAAGAATCGCATAATAGTAATTTAGGCTTATTTGGTTTCAGTTAAATATACAATAAAATAATTTGCATATGGTTACGAATTTCAAATAATATTACATATATAAGATAATAAATACATACATACAATATATTCTTGCAATCAAATAACTTTGGATATATCAAACGTCAATTATCCAGATATATGCTTATCCGAACAAAAACTTGACATTGATAAATCCGGTCAAACGGAGTTCTACTGCACTTGAAAAAATCTAAATTTGGACCTTATTCAAATAAGGGTGATCATTTAGAAATGGATCATAACTAGTCAATATTAAAGATAATCAATATTACATTAGTTCAAAAGATGGCTCTCAGTGGTCTTCTAAAAAAAAGTATTTAGGAATATGTTGAATATGGACGAATCTAGATCCACATACATATACA